AGGTGGGTGTGTCAGCAGGTGTGTGCCGGTGGGCATGTCAGATGGATGTGCACGTCCTGCTGACTTCTCTGTCTGTCATCAGCCTTTCTCCTGATTCCTATCCCCCTCCCTGCTGTTCTGATCCATTTGTCCACCCACACCACCAGACTCTGCCCCCAGGGATTTGCCCCACTGCCTTTTCTGGGTAATCAGAAATGCCTCCACCATACAAATTGTGTGTGTGTGTGTGTGTGTGTGTGTGTGTGTGTGTGTATTTTAGGGAAGGGTCTACAGGGTGTTCAGGATCTCACTACTAAATCGGACCAGACTCGTAGTGATCCACCTGTTTACAGCCTCCCAAGAGCTGGGATTACACGCACGTGTCACCACATCCAGTCTCAATTGCTGTCTCAGTGCACCCTGGGGATGTGAGGCCCACATGGCAGGCTCAGGGATTGAACTCCTGGCCCCTGCACCTGCTTGCAGGTGCTTTAATCTGCTGAGCTATTTGGCCGGCCCTCCACCATACAATTCTTGACCACCAAAAACGAGGACCATACTATCAAGAGCTGCCACCCTCTGAACACCTGTGGCAAGCGATGTCTACACTCGGTACTCTGTGTATTTGTACCATGTGACCCTGAACACCAATCCTGGTGGCCCATTCAATGCTAAAGGACCCCTAGTTTATAGTGGCAGAGGTCTGCCTGCAATCACATAGTGAAAATGAGACCAACTTGGGACTTGAACTCAGGCCTGGACAGTGGAGTTGATCCCTACGCAGCATGTAGCCAGCAGGCTGAATTATTCTGGTGGTGGGCTTCAAATAAAATTTTCTTGTGCTAGATAGTCTTTGGAGCAGTTCCTTTTGGATGGAGAATGGGGGCGGTGAGGAAGCTGGGATAAGGTTGGGCAGAATATGGAGAATCCGCCCCAGAACTCTGAGCTGCTTAGCCACCACATGCCCTCTCAGGAGTCCCATGCTCCCCGAGCCTCGGTCTCTCCAGGTGCCAGTGGGGCCCATGCTTCCTGCCTGTGGAGCCTCAGTATTGCTGTGAGAGTGGCGGGTAGAGTGGCAGAAGTGACGTTGCTGTGCTGGAAAGCACGACAGACCCGTAAGGCAGTGATACACCTTTCTCTTTTATCTCAGTTAAAGCCACTCCCACCTATTTATATTTTATCTCTGAAGAGAAGAGGAACCTAAAGATGAGACATGAAATCTTTGTTGACAGTAATTTAAGATTAAAGGGGAAGGGGCACTGCTTAAACTAAGAGGAAATATTTACAAAGAGCTGATTGGCCAAACATTTGGCCCAGACCGATTAGAACAGTGGGTACCCAGTAAGGAAAGAGCAGTGCAGAATAAATACCAGCCAGGTATGATGGTCTGTGCTTGGAATGCCAGCTCCTCAGGGGCCCTCCGCAGGGGGAGGTCAGCCTGGGCAACTCAGTGAGGTCCTGGCTCAGTATATACAAAGAGCAGGGGTTGTGGCTCAGTGGTAAGAGTGCTTGCCTAGCATGCACGGGGCCCTGGTTCAATCCCTAGCACTACCAAAAAAAGAAAGAGGACAAAGAAAGGGACAGGAGGAGGAAGCAAACAGCAAGTGCCAGGGATCTTGCGCTCTTACCTCCCCAGTCACCACAATGACCCTTCTTATGCCAGTTAATAAAACAGACACAAATTGAGTTGAAAAGCTATAAGCATGCCACAGTGACATCCTGGGGACAAGCAAGGCTGCCTGGCATCCCCTGCACAGCCCCTCTAAACAAACCCTCTGGTCTTGTCTTTATTTTTTTTTTAATTGGTGGAATCTCATTTTTATTATTAATTTTATTGAAAAACAAATAGCAATGAGACAGTTTCAAAACCGATTAGTAGGACAGTTTCAGTAACTAGTACATTGCATATTATTGTCTTCGTAGTGGTTATTCATAGTACAAGATGCAGACATGATATCCTGCCAAACACTATTAGTACATATCTTTCTTCTCATTGAATTAAAAGAAAGTAGCTGTATATCTATCCTATTTTGTATATACATATACAAAATGGTCCTTCATGTATATCCCCTTTTTATTGTTTAGTTTTGTCAGAGATGGGTATTCCATTGCCATTTAAATATTATAGGTGAGTGAATTCAGCAAAATAGTCCAATATAGTCCAGTAGTCCATAGTAGTAGTGGGTTATCTGTAGGGCTGGCAATGTCAGAAGGATCTACAAACTGTGGTACAGGGTTTCAGGATAAATCCTGAGGGGATTTGACTGACCTTGTCAGATACAAAAGTGACATTTCTAGTTATATAGGTCTTGCTTTATCTTGGTCTTAACTATCCAGCAGAAAAGTATCAACACAAGGTATAAAAAGTAAAGCCATATTAATATGCTGAGCTGTAAAAGGCTCAAGTCAACAATTTCTGGCCTTGTCTTTCTGCTTGCTGCATGTGTGTCCTTTGGGGATTCCATCCCGGATACGGTCAGCAGTGTCGTATCATGTAGCAGTCATAGGGCAGAGGCCAGGGGCCTTTCTGTCATCTGGCTAAACTATGGTAGCCACAACCCTCAGGCTGAGCCCACAACTCGCACCTTCCTACCCAGCAATATCTGTGTTTACCTCCCAGAGAAAACGGAAAGTTGCTCAGGCCTCGCCCTCCAGAAGGGGAGGTGACTTCCAACCATCTGTTTTTGTTGCCACTTCTTCAAGTTCACCCACACAGATTCTTGGGCCATTATTGCAGGGTTGTGGTACAATTCTCATATGCCTCTGCTCCTTCAGAACCCAAAGAATATTTTCCTGAGGCATCAGGGCTTCTTCTCTGAGATGGATTGTGCAGAGAGGAAACGTGGCTTCCTCCACGCAAATCTGTGGCTCACAGCAACACTTTCCAGGCTATCCCGGCTGAGGGTGTGCAGCCCATTTGTTGGCTCGTGTACAAAGACGTAGAAGTGTCTTCTGTCATGTGTGATGCCTTTGATTTACATATAAAGTCTGAATTACATAGAAAGCCATCACATCTCACAGTTTATAGGGGCCAGCCAAATAGCTCAGTGGATTGAAGCAACTGCAAGCAGGCGCAGGGGCCGGGGTTTGATCCCCAGGCCTGCTGTGCCAGCCTCACCCCCACCCCAGGTGGCACGTGCCTGTAATCCTCACATTTTAGAGTGTTTCATGGTTTATAAAAAAGCATTCACACATGAATTCTGTCATTAGATTCTCCCAAACACGCTCCGGGCATCAGAAGGTTAGCTTCAGCTCAGACGCCAGGCATGTTTTGCACAGGTTGATGGGCTCACAGGGGGGAGGCCTGGCCTCCTGTCCAGGTGGTTGGACTCCCAGGTCGGGGATGCTGGGGCTCCTGGGAGAGTGGGTGTATGGAGCACCTGGGCTTTGGAACCCATGCTTGGCTTTATAAGCTTTCCGGGTCTCAGTGTATTCATCTGTAGAATGGTGACTGTCAAGTCCACTGTACAGGGTCGCCCCCCTCCCGCACTTCCTGCCGCTCCCCGCAGACTCCACAGGTGTGCCCTGCACGCAAGCATGAAGCTGCAGCTTAGCGGTTTAATCCCGTTCCCACCCTTCTTTCCCCTCTCCATTCACAGGACTCCCACAGGAGCCAGGTAATCAGCAACGCTGAACTGCTTTACTTTGCCTCCAGGTAACGGAGAACAGGGGAGACCTTACCCCATGACGGATGCAGAGAGAGTGGACCAGGCCTACCGAGAGAATGGCTTTAACATCTACGTCAGCGATAAAATCTCCCTGAATCGTTCTCTCCCTGACATCCGGCACCCAAAGTGAGTGTAAAGTCTCTCATCTTATGGGTTCTAAGCATTCTGCCCAGGGCTCTTGCTTGAGAATTAAAACACAGGGCCAAGAAGCACTGCTGGCAGAGCCTTGGTCCGGGCGCACAGGGCCTTTGCGGCTGCTCCTGGAACTCGGTGCTCTGTGGCAGGAGACCGTGCCCTCTCCAGTGCCCGAGTCTCCTTCCGCCTTGGAAAGAGCTGGACCCAAGAGCCTCTACATGTTGCCTTTGGCTGTGGTCCCTAGAAAAGTTTAGACCTCAGTTTGGAGAACTAACGACAGTGGTGTTTTGGCTTTAACCCTGTGCTTTCTGTGTGTGACGTTATTCCTTTTTTAAAAAATTAATTTTTATTCTTTTTTTTTTTTTTGGCGGAACCAGGGATTGAACTCAGGCCCTTGCGCTTGCCAGGGAAGCACTTATTCCACTGAGCCATCTCCCTGGCCTAATTTTTATTTTTTAGAGTTTATTCTAAATTCACTCAAACCATACTGAATGATAGTGGAATGATGATAAAAATTACGATGCCAGCAACTACCATTCTTTGAACAGGGATCAAGCCCTGGAATGGTGTCCATTTTCTAGATGAGGAAAATAATGCTCAAAAAAGCATCATAACTCAGGGATACTAGAAAACTGAGAGGCTGATCCAGGTCTTCCGCTACAGCTTAACCAAACCCGTGCCATAGACCTTCAGCTTGCTTGACTATACAGTGGGTTTTGTTGTTGTTATTGTTGTTGTTGTTGTTGTTTGTTTGTTTGTTTGCGGTACCAGGGATTGAACTCGGGACGTTGCACTTTCCAGGCAAGTGCTTATTCTACTGAGCTATCTCCCCGGCCCCCCTACAGTGTTTTCAATAAGGCTTGCTTGCTGTAATGGTGATTTTCTAGCAGAGCTGTTCCCGAGCAGTCTACTAGACTGATGAGCCTTGGGATCACCGAGCAGTCTACTAGAACACAGTATACTCAGCTTCACCCCCAACTTCCGGACTCCGTAAATCCGAGCTGGCACCCAAGAGGTTCCAACTCAAGCCAGCTCCCAAGTGACACAGGGGCCACTTGCCGGGGCCCACACTTTGAGAACCGCTACCAGTAGAAGATTTCAGTATTACTTCTATACAGGGCAGTGCTGAGCAACACTGAGTGGAAAGCGTTTTGCTTAGGGACTAAGAAAATAGTTCCCAGGAAAAGATCAGAGCATACACTCGTTCAGCAGATGTTCGCTGTGTGCCCCACGCTGTTCTGAGCCAGTGCTTCTCAAAGCATAGTTCCCAGAGCAGTGACACCAGCATCGCCAGGTAATTCAGCAGACATGCAGGGTCCTGGACCCTCGCTCAGATCTACTAGGTCAGAAGTGGTGGGGAGGGCTCCAGCGGTCTGTTTAACAGGCCCTCGGTGATTTGGATCTAAGATCAGGTAGAACCACTTTGCTAGGCCCTCTAAGTCCCACGAGAGTCCCCGTGAGATAGATATTCTTTTCATCCACCATCTTACCATGAAAAATGGCAGCCCAAAGATTAAATTGTTTGCGTAAGATTATACAGCTGGTAAGAGCTGACCCTGATGTCTGTGTTCTTAATCCCTGGTCCATGAAGGTGTTCCCACCTGTAGGAACTCCATGGTAGACTGCCAACCGAAGACTTAGTCCTGGGGCTGGAGAGATGGCTCAGTGGTCTAAAGCACCTACTTGAAACAAGCTTGGCAAAGCACAGGGACCGCGGTTCAATCCTCCAGCACCACATGCCA